TGACGATCCAGTACCGACGGGCGGAGGCGGAGCCGGCTCGTGGGCGTGCTACGCGCGTCCTCAACCCGCGCGCGGTGCGACTCTTAGGTAAAACGGACGGAAGTACCTAAAAGTAAGCGGGCGGACCAAGGTGGAGAATCCTTGACAAGTCCGTGCTTGTCCCCCCTCCACCGCCGGCGGTCCGCTCATATTTAATGTACACAATTATCTATCATGACACTACAGTACCGATGTACTGTAGTGTGCTACCGTAGTGCAGGTCGGCCTGCACTGTAATACTGTCAGCCGTCGGGACTGACACTACACGTGTGCGCGCGGGCTGAGGTACTGTAGAGCTCGGGCTCTACAGCTGCAAATCTAATCTAAATCTAATTCCGGGAGGGGGATATGCCACAGCACTCTCTTGTCTTGTTTTTTACTTGGCTGCCAACCCTTTGCGATTTGTTCGCCTGCCAGCAGCACTATTTATACGACACTGTGTTGCCTCCCCTCATGCACTATTTTCACCATCATTGCGTAGAGGGCGGGACAAAGCAAATGCTCCACCACAGCAACGCAGGATGAGGTGTTACTGTATTCTCATGTGGAGCTACTACTGTGTTTTGTAATCTATCGCCGTCACGACAAGACTAAAGACGCCAACACCGTACAGCATTGCATCATATACGGCCTCCAAAACCAGTCGATATCAATTTGCGACAGCAGTAATCTCAACTTACTGCATCATTAGGAGTGAAAACCGGACCTGCTTACAATTGACGCTTACGGGTTTGGTTTCTACGACATCATTGAAGCGATTCTCGTCTTCAGCCGAGAAGGCAGACGATCTGTACCCCATTCTTTAGGAGGTATTATACTCGGTGGAATATACTTCCAGTTAGAAGACACTTCACGTAAGCAGATAAAGTAGAGATGAACCGTAGCGCGCCCGAGCTCGAGCAGGATATTTTCAAGATGATGATGGGGGGCACTCACGCATGTTAGAAAGTAGCTGAGTAGACATAGCCCAATCTCAGTGAAAACACCCTTCGCGCCTCTGGTGCCGGTTTTAGTGGCCAACTTTGACCCGACAAAGGCCCCAGACCTGCTTGGGCAGGGCTATCTGTGTCGTATGTTACACGTGTACATAGCACCCCCACGGTACTTAACACCGCCGTCGGTCCTTCCCTCAGTAAACATGACTACGGTCTTGAGTCTCTCCTACAGCAAGCATAAGCTTGAGCTGAAAAACTTTGGCAACATTCCCTCCACATCTAATATTCGTTCCGTGACGCTTTAAATTTAACGTTTGGTTTATCACCTGAACATGAACTGATGGGTTGGTCGTGTGAAAATGCGCAACGGAATAACATAGAAATCTCCAAAAACTGCGAGGCACTGGCTAGATTTCTTCGATTGCGAACAATAGCGTGACCGAAAAGTCAGCTTTTCACTTTTTTCGTTCCGATCCCCCGACCGGTTGTTACTTTCTCCACACCACTTCATGGTTTCATGGTTTTAGAGACTAGTCAAGTGTGAAAATCAAAATTTTAACGAAACAAACGTGAATATTTTCATATATCACAATAACGTGTTGGGCTTGCCAAACCCAAGCCGAACTGTCTCATAAGCGGTTAACGGCCTGTCCAGAGACGTGACATTCATTTTTAGTTGCGCTATCACACGTCGAAATGGAGATATTGGACAGCGTCTATTTCAGCTCTATTCCAAACGTATCCTTGTATGGATACACAGGTGTGCACATGAAGCAGCATAATGCTCGTTCCCACCTCCTCTTGAACAGCATATAAAGGAATGCTCATGATGAAAATTACTCCCAGCAACATTCATTGGCATTACATAAAACAGGGAAACATCTGTACAGGAATTCAGTGTTACCTCTAAGAAACTTTAGGAAGCAAATACAGCAATTCGACATGGTCACTAGAGGTGCAAGATCTACAGAAGGCTCCCGTAGGAAGATAGGAAGTACGAAGAAAAACATATTCTGCAACAAATGCAGGACTTATTTTAGCACGAAAGAAGATTTGGAGATACACAACTTGGTAACACCTTACTGTTCAGAGAGGGGAACATCTCGTCATACTGAGGTTATTCCCAAATCAAGCATTAAAGGCAAGACAACATGCAAGCGATAAAAGACGTGCACCTTCCAATTAACACTAAAAAGAGTCAAGGAGTTTTAACAGACCAATGACGCAATTCTTCAGATTGCCAGAATGTTCAAATGGGCAATATGCCTCTTCCGGGTTGATTTCTCTTCTTGACGACGGCGGAGTCAATTACAATCTGAAAATATGTCCTGAATTCCCTTAGTTTTAAATAGAGCAGAACAGAACTGAAAAGGTACTCACGCAAATTTTTTGGCACAGCCATGCTTGCTTTGTTAACAGAATCTCAAAAACTGGATCGAGATAGTACGCATACTGTATTACAGAGTGTAGATGCTACGCACGGAACCAAAAGGGCAATTTTTTATGCTCTGCATGAAGTCACGATCTCAACACCAGGAACAGATCTAACGAGAGATGCACAGATGTTTTGGTGTTCGCAGTAATTATGATATCGTCTTAGCTCATCTCCCCTTACTTGATGCATGCCAGAGAGAATCGAACTGTCACTCTACATGCCATTGGGGAAGTTGTGGTAAGAACGACAATGCTTCGCACCATATTGTAACAGGTAAGCAGCTAGCGCAACGAAGAGCAGTCGTACTGTATGAAGCTGGGAATTGAGGACGACTAAAAAGATGAGATTTACGCTAGACAAGGAGAAACGGTTCAAAACTAAGCAAGTCAGGGATGGTTGACGGTGGAGGAGCACTGTTCGTCAGCGTGCCTTCAATGAGAACTGAAGTTCCGTCTTCGAAATAAAGCCGTGCAACATTGCCGGTTTTCTGTGAAAATGCAATGCTTGGGGTGACTCCAACACCGTTTGCGGTGAAATTAATGTTTCGTGAGGACGTTACCTCTCTTGCATTCCCAAGAATCTCCCTCACGACAGTCGCCTTGGCATTGTAATTAGGTTGGGAAGCTGCCAATCTTTCTAGATCTGCTCTGGTAACCGGTTGGTCAAGGTTGATACCAACGAATGGAGAGTATGCGAATCTGGTTAAGAACCAGTTGACGGCAGCGACCGACGAAGAATGAAGACCAAAACGCATCAGTTTGTTCCCCCTCGAGGCGGCATGTGTATGTAGTCATCTGGTTTTCCGAACTTATTGTAAGTAGAATAGGACGCAATGCTAACCGCAAGATGTGTACTGTACAAGTAAAGATTTGCTGGAGTGATCAGAGTGCTAATTTTTTTTGTAGCGGGAAAGTTGCGGCTTAAGATGCTGTGGAGCACTCTCCGCGACAGCCATCCTCAATAAAAAATTCGCCCCCCGAGGTCATAGGTAAATCATTCGTGTGATGTCTCAAACTTTTAAAAGAGCAAGGCCTTCCCTTTTCGTCATTCTTCCCTGTGCTGCTCTGAACGTTAACCTTGTTTTGCAGGAAAGGCCGCGTATCCTTTGTGAGGGTCTGATTGGGCACGCAAGAAGTTGCACGCTGTTTTAGGGCTTTGTTTTTTCGGCCGGTGATGGTGCTCCGGCAAAGAGCTGTTATGGCTGAAACGGCAAGGAGAGGGATCAGAGTCAATTGAGATCAGGGGGGGAGGTGGGGGGGCGCAGCGGCCGCCAGGAAGGGCGCGGCTCTACAGCGCTGGGAGGGGCCGGCTGTGGACGCGGAGTCGTGCGGTGTGACGCACGGGTGTCGACGGCGCGAGCGCGTGCCATAGACTCACGGTGCAGCGGGCGTCACGGGGTGTTGTTCGGATTTGAATAGGCGGCGGTGGCAAAGCAGCGCTTGTTCTTCTCTATATCTCCCTCTCTCGGAATCTCTTTCTCTCTTGCCGTTGTTAGTCGCTGTTTGTCGATGTTTGTGGTCCTTGGTCTTCTCGCAGAGGGGGCGGGGAAGGTTTGCTTCCACCCTTGGCGTTGCGAATTGTTGCTGCGGTGTTGGCACATCGTGTGTTTAGTACAAGTGGGCTCCGTGGCGCGCGTTGCGGGCCGCAAGTGGGGAGGATTGCGAAAGGGTTTGAATGTAACAACAAAGTTTTTGGAATGATGTCATTCCAAAAACTTTGTTGAAGCTGTCAACAGCTTCAAAATAAATAAATGTTTGAATGAGGGGAACGGGGTGTGAGGGGAACGGGGTGTGAGGGGAACGGGGTGGTGCT